TGCACTTGTAAGGTGATCATAAGGTCTTAAACAAATAAAATAGGCTACAGAATATTGATTAATGTAGGATGCCATTTTCAGAAAATATTATGTGTGTCCTATGTAGTGAAAATCGGGAAGGGCACATATGTGATATAACTGGATTTCAGGTGAGTTACATTTTGTTTCAGTGATTTGTGGTCTGGATTTAGTCATTTTTGGTAAGATAATTATGTATTAATTGCATAAAAAGAAAGTTTAAAAAAAGGGAAAGAAAGAGAAGAAAAGATAAAAAATTGTAGTTGATACAGTTTTGCCATTCTGGTCCCCCGTAATCTCATCTCTTTTCTTGTGTATAATACAATACTCTCCTTTCACACAATGAGTCATTGGTATTTCAATGACCCATTAGGCCGGCCTTCATATTTGTGGGACATAGCAAGAGTCTGGCAAATCCAAGTTTCAGGGCAATATAATCAGAACTAATAAAATCACGCAAGTATAAAAATGCAGCTTACTCATTTCATTTCCAGGTGTTTGTGTGTGGTTTTCCTCCCGCCTGGATTTCCCCAGACCCTTAAACACTTGTCCTTTTTAAACACTTGTCCTTTTCCCACTACTTGCTTGGGTGTCTCTGTATATGTGGCTGGACATCTTTAACCTCAATTTATATACTACTTCTTGCCTAGATTAGATGACCCTCAGGTGTGTTTCATTGGACCCTGTGAAATTCTTATCTTGGTACTTGGTGTTATTTTGTTGGGCAATTGTATCTATTGAGAGCACACTCTGAGGAGGTCCTGAGCTAGTAACTTGGATAAAGTACTTTAAAAGACAGACGGGGCACTCCTACTCCTGAAGCTTATAGTGTGGATGAAATGACAATTAATAATTATAGTTGTCACAAGTGGTAGAAAAGAAAAACCAAGATCCTACACAAGTAAATACAAAGAAGACTTCTAGCTTAAGATAGGGCCTAAGGGAGGATTTCCTGAGAAGGAGACGTTAAATCGGGAGCCAGAGGACGAAAAGAGTCGACCAAATTAGGTTTGTGAGAGTCCTTCAGTAGAAGGAAGCAGTGTATTGAAGAAAATCTGAGTAGAAAGCAGAAGGAAGACACTTGAGAGACTCAGTAGACAATGAACCCATTGCCGTGTTCACAGGTATTCTTGTGGATGCTACATAGTTCTCTCCCTCTGCCAGGAAACCAAAAGACAGAAAACTTCCTGAGGTCAGAAATGTCAAATTCACCAAGGGATACTCACTGTATGCATTTGATTAAATGACAATTGGGAGTTATTTTTGTGGAAGATGAAATGAGATGCTATTTTAAGGCTCAAACACAATAATATGTGTTAACGAAAATGGAGCAAAGGAGGGATGAGAAGAAAATATCTTATTTAAGAGAAAATGCCCTTGTGAACATGTGATCACTAACCCAGATCTTTCTCTACAAAATCCCTAAAAGTCTTACCCCGCCGAACTTCTCTGTAGTAGTATAGACCTTGAGATATTCTTTAGAAATGGGAGAAAGCGCTGTTTATTTTTAAGAGTAGGAAGATAAATTAGTGAAAATCTCTGGAAACTGAGGTGCAGAATGTTAAAACCTGTGAAAGTCTAAGGAAATGAAGTATTTTGAAAGATTACAATGGAAAATCATACTAGTTGGGATGATTTAAAAAGTTGATTAGTGCTGGCTGTGGGATGCTGTGCCATGAGCTAGTTTTCTCCCCTCTTTGCTTTTCTCCCAGAAAAAGAGTTTTGAAGGTATGAGGTGATTTGGAGACTCCACCCATCAAAGTTCGAAGCTTAGATATTATTAGGAAAACCGCAGTTTCCTTCCAGCAAATATCTTTTTTCTTTTTTTTTTTAAGATTTTATTTATTTGACAGAGAGAGACACAGCGAGAGGGAACACAAGCAGGGGGAGTGGGAGAGGGAGAAGCAGTCTCCCTCGGAGCAGGGAGCCCGATGCGGGGCTCGATCCCAGGACCCCGGGATCATGACCTGAGCCGAAGGCAGACGCCTAACGACTGAGCCACCCAGGCGCCCCTTCCTGCAAATATCTTAATCAAAATGAGAAAGATGATAGCAGAAATACCCTCTTTTGGTCTTGATACACATTCATAGCTGAAGAGAGTTACATTAGACCTTTCTCATCCACTAAAGTTACATGTGAGTCAGTAGAAACCAAAGTCCCTTATTTTAGACCCAAATGGGAAGGTGAGTCACCCAACTGCTTGTCTCTCCTTCCTTGTTCTCAGAGTGGCTGTGGCAGGCGGCGACCTTGGGAGAAGCATGTGTCATTACCCCCACTTGACTGCACCTCCTGGGTGGAGGAGGGTCTGCTCTGAACTCTTTGAGGTTTCAATAACATGTGACACATTCTCCTAATTATTAACACCTGGCATTCCTGGACACTAACAGAAGCACAACATCATCATAAGTATGTGAACCTTCCTGGCATATTTATAAACGAGTTTTTCACTGGTTACCTTCTTGACTATGCCTAGCAGCCATTATTTCAGTGATTGAATTTCATTATTAGCCTTGCTTTTCTCAATTACCCACAGGAAACACAAGTGAGTAATGAGCTCATATGACCACAACAATAAAGCTTTCGTATTCCCAAAGAGCACCGAGGTTGTGGATGGGCTGAGGATGTGATAAACAGTTTTCTTTTCTGTTAGGGATAAGGAATGCACTCTGGTGAACTGTAATGTCAAGAAGTCAAGTGAACGGAACCCATCAGGAGTAGGTATTGTGATAAGCTATTATCTGACTGGAAACAGGGTCCCCAAGTAACAGCTAAACATGGAGATCGTCCACCGTCATCTGAAGGAAGAAACTGATAGGGTTAATTCAGGCTGGTGACATGGAAGAGAAGATGAAGTCTGAATTTGCAAACTGTTTTACTTCACTGAAGCATGAATAAGTCACGGAAAAGTAAGGACGATCTGGCATGAGTCCTACAAAAACCTGGGGGTTTTCATGACTCTTTATCACAGACTTTAGTGCTGCTTGTGAGGATGCACTGGGCTGGTCCTAAGAGTAGAGAGGAATAGGGGTGCCCAGTGACTCAGTCTGGTAAGTGTCTGGCTCTTGATTTTGGTTCAGGTCATGATCTCAGGTCATGGGACTGAGCCCTGAATCGGGCTCTGGGCTCAGGAAGGAGTCTGCTTGAGATCTCTCTTCACCTCCCTGTCCCTCTGCACACCCTCCCCGCCACCCCGCGTGCACGCTCTCTTTCTAAAATAAATAAATCTTTAAAAAAAAAAGAGTAGAGAGGAATGTTAGGGACTTCAGAGAGGGTCCAGTAAAAAACCCTGCTGAGGGGCACCTGGGTGGCTCAGTTAAGCATCTGCCTTCGGCTCAGGTCATGGTCCCAGGGTCCTGGGACCTTCCTGCCCCGCAGGAAGCCTGCTTCTCCCTCTTCCACTCCCCCTGCTTGTGTTCCCTCTCTTGCTGTCTCTCTCTCTGTCAAATAAATAAAATCTTAAAAAAAAACCCAAACAACGCTGCGGAATCAGGTTGAGGCTTGGTTTTGGTCTTGGTAGGATGGGTCTAGAGTTGTCCGTTGTGTGATGTTTACCCCTCATGTGCAGCCTCCCTGCTTGGTTAGTTGGTTGCCCAGGTTGGAAAGATGTGTCTCTATTGTAGTAACATCCACTAGCCAGCACTGAGCGCTCTCTCATCCTTCCTCTCTGTGCTCAACCCCCTAGCAGCTGCTGGGCCTCGCTTGATCTCAGCCCCAATACGTGCAGATCCCAGGACTCAGCCGGTGAACGAGGCACCCTCCGCAGAGCTCTCTTCTCTCCAGATGCCAGCTGTTTCGGTGCCACGCAAACTGATATTTACCTCCGGGGCTGGTGTGGCTGCCAGGCTCTGCTCTGTCACCTGCTCCCCGGCTGCAGCCTGGAAACCCACCCCCGGGCACCTGCGGTGCTTACTGCTGAGTCGGCTTCCCCTCAGGGGTCTTACCCTTGTGCAGCCTGCTGCTCGAAGCCTGAAGCTGTCACTTCCCGTCCTAGGACGGAGTCATGGTGTTGCTTCTGGGGGGAGGCTACTCTGCAATCCCCAGAAACAGAGTCAGCTGCTCTATTGTAAATATTGACTTTAGGGGGCACTTGGGTGGCTCAGTTGTTAAGCATCTGCCTTCCGCTCAGGTCATGATCCCAGGGTCCAGGGATCGAGCCCCGCATCGGGCTCCCTGCTCTGTGGGGAAGCCTGCTTCTCCCTCTCCTACTCCCTCTGCCTGTGGTCCCTCTTTCGCTGTGCCTCTCTCTGTTAAATAAATAAATAAAATCTTTAAAAAAAAATATTGACTTTAGGAATTTAATTTCTTTAGGTGATATTTGCTGTCACATAGGGTAGATGTCACTCACTATTTTATGACTTTTTGCTCTTTGCATGTCCCTCTTTGAGTCACATGGGTCTGGAATCCACACACGTAAGAGAATGGGAAAATACCGTTGAAAAAGTAATAATGTGGTGTACCTACAGATCAGGGGGATGGGACTAGATGTTTCACTGTAGCTAGAGATAGGGAAGCTTCTTGAAAATATTGGCCCCTCTGTATAAATCACCAATGGTGCTTCCTCCAGAGAAACCAATGCCATGAATGGTCCCCTTCAGAGGGACAGAATTGCAGAAAGGAGCTATTTTCGGGAGACCGAATAAACCTTTCTCCAGGGCATAGGACTCACTGATTTTCAGATAGGCTGTGGGACCAACCTGCATCACCTGAGGCTGACCGCAGTGAGGGCCCTCTGGAAGTCACAGTCAGCATGCAGACCCCCATGTTGGTGAGGTCCAGAGCACCCCACCCCCGCCGCCCCATGTGGCTCACAGCACACAAATCAACCACCCTCACACAGCTCACTCCTGGATTAAAGAGACCATATGGCACTTTGGCAGATGATGCCCTTTGAAAAAAGAAGTTTTACTTTTTTTTTTGCATTATAAATGTGTTAGTTGTAAAATGTAATATTCTTAGAAAATACAGAAAAATACAAGTAAATTTTATAAAATAAAGAAATATAATCTACAGTGCAGCCCTTAAATATGCTGGGCTATTTCTACTGCATCTATTTTTAATAGAAATCCTCAGTTTTAACAAGATCACTATGAAAGCCCATGAAGTGATCTGGAGGGGAGTGCATCATATCAAATTCCACCTTTAAATCAAAACCGACTGGCTCCTTCTTGCTTTTCCTAGCCTTGATGACCTTAAAGGAGAGAGAAGAAAGAACACAGTGAGACCCTAGGGGTTGCACTGAAGGTCTGCTGCTCTTCTTCCTTCCACCCGCAGTGTGTCTCCAGCTCCATCAACACCCCATGTCCTCTCTCGGAGGCTGCTCATTCTCTCTCCCATCTCCTGCACTGCACCACCTTCCTGTAAGCCCTCCTCATCTGGAGCCTAAAGGAGAGATTTCCTGGTGCCCCCACGGGTCCATTTGAACAGCTCCACATGGTGAGGAGGAACTGGGAAAGAAGGGGAGTCCTCACTGGAGCAGAAAAGTGACAGGAAGCAACAAAAGGTAAATATTTTAATTATTTGCACTCAGTTTAATGTTGATTAGTGCATCAAGAATTCCACGGTGGACCTCTGTATGTGTGTGTATGTTCCTATGTGCCCGAGAAAGAGAGTGTGGCGTCACGTGGGCCAAGATGTGCACTGCACGACAGTGTGGTGCCTTTGGCTCTAAGATACAGTTATTCAAGGTCCTGGGACCCCCTCGGTCATTTGTGTCTGGCATGTGCTCGGTTGACCCTCTTCTTCGTTAAACTTGTTTTGATGCTTATTATACACACTTTCCATTTTACTGCTGAACTCTGTGCTCACTTCTTTTGTTCCTGCGTGGTATGTTTCCCCTCAGGCCACTCTCAAGGACCAGTTTTTCCCAAAGCTGCATGAGTCCTACAGAAACCTGTGTCTGATCTGCCCACTGAGCCCAAGAATCTGACTCTGGAGCCAAAGCCCCTGGGCCAGCACAGGAATCTCGGTTGCAGCAGGTACAGGCAGTGCCAAGTAGGGCTATCGCCTACCTTTCAATGATAGTGATAATCAGTATCTCCATCAATGAAATGGGAATAACGACTTCAGTATCTTCGTCACTGTCTCAGTGCCCAGCACACAGTAAGTGCTCAGCTAAGTGTTTTCTTATTCGTTTAAATATACATGTTGTTATGTTATTATTTCTCTTGGGCAATATCATTCACACCCATGACTTTAAGAATTATCCTTAAACTGCCAAGTACTGCTGTTGCTTGCTGTCCCTGTCTCCAAATTTGGCCTCTCCCTAATGCATCCCTCCAGAGAGTTACTAGCATACTTTTTGCCAAGATGTCAAAGTCATCAGGCATTCCTCCGCATAAAATTTTTCAAGTGGTTACTTGTTTTCACAATGAATTTTCCATTTCCGTTTATTTCTGACAAAAGAAGTACACCAAATACACCCCCTGACTCCTGTTTTTACTCTCTGGCCTCATCTTCCGTCCATCTCTACATCTATGGCATTTCGGTTGTACATAAATCGTGTTGTCTCACACTTTTGGGGATACACATGCATCATTTCTTTTGCCTAGAACTCTTTCCAATGTCTACTTTGCTAAGAAAAATAGTACCTACTGCAGACTGATTTCCGTTTTGGTGTTCGGCAGTTAAGTAATGTGTATGGTCTCACTTAACCATGCATGGTCTTACCTCAACCCAATGATGTAGAGACTGTGACCCTTTCAGAGGACCAGTCAAGCTACCTCCCCAATGTCAGGCCAGGACTCTAATCAGGTCTGTCCTATTCAAAGCCCTGCTCTCAACCATTATGAGAAGTAGCCTCCCTGCCTTCCTAATGTCTTCAAATATTTCCTTATTTAGCGTAAGTATCTTATCCTTTTGAAATCTATGTGAATGTCATTTCCTCACAGCCTTTTAAAAATCCTCCACTTAAAAATGAATGCAAGGCATGGCTGTGTTCTCCTCCCACCCGCTGGACTCTTATGTGTCCAAAAACAGGAATCTGGTGCTCTCAAAACCTAAACAAAATTATTTGCCTCTATTGGCAAACTAACGTTCCTCTATCCAGTTCCCACCTGGATGAAGCTGTGAGTTCCACATGTCAGTTTCAGCTTCTGGTCAATTGTTTTCAGTTGAAAGCAGAAGAGTCGAAGTTTATCTCCTTTATCACACTTGATGTTGTGCCATCTCTCGGTCCCCAAGACCTCCATTATTCCTGTATTATCCTGTATTTCATATACTGTCGTCTTCCTATTCACTTTTTTCTGCAACAGAAATGCAACGTTCAGTTTCTGAAGTCATAGTAGTGACTTTCATATGTATGAGGAAGCACCTGGTGGCACAGGAAATCCAAGACATAAAAAAGCAATTATAGGGCACAAATACACACACAGCTTCGGCAAGGTCTTATCAGAGAACTTTCCTTTTATTATCCTGCTTTTGTATTTTCTTCCCCTTTCTTGTTCTAGATGTTTTCTATCTGGCAATTCCAGAGCAATGAGTTTTCTTCCTATTTTCTACTGCTTCACTGCAAGGGAAGCATTCATTCCTTAAAACAACTGGAATCAGAGGAAGGCATCGGAGCCCTGGTGGACTCCTTTAGCTCCTGTCCTTATGCAGAAAGGAATGGACATGACCACGACTATTCATCAGCCGATTATAAAGAACCTATATACCAAGTAAGGTTCCAGTAACTCACTAATTCTTTTTTCAACCTTCTCCATTTACCCATCCTTCTCCAAATCTTATCTCCACTGACCAGGATCCTGCAGTTCACTTTCTTAAGTTATAACTCATCAATTCTATAAATACATTTTAACCATAGTCTCTGAAAGACAGTGTAAGACAGGAATGGAAGTAAATTAAGGGGCTATCCTGGAAGACAGGCATATGGGGCTATGAAGCATATAAGATCATATGAGATCCTATGAGATACCAGGGGAGTTCATGACAGTTTGTAAATTCTGAGGAGAACTAAATGCATCATACTAACCAGTACCCTGAATTTGGACATGACATATCAGTAAAACTGTCCATGCCATCCCTCCCCCCTTTTGGGGATATAATGGAATTAGATTGCCATGTCTTCCAAATATCATACAATATGAAACCTTAGTCTTCAATAAACTGTTCATAAATAATGTGTTAAATAAATAGGTTAGAGGAGACAGCCTTGAATGATTCTATTATTTGCCCACATGTTGAAGGTATTCATATGTAGGAGAATACAAGCCAATATATTTATTACTCTGAATATGTGTCACAGCCAGAATTAATCTTTGTTAGGGCAATCTATTATTCAAAGTAAGAAAAAAAAGATTTATACAGTCGTGGAGGAGCTCAGACATACAATTATGAGCATGTGCATACTCATTTATACCCTGTGCTGTCCTTGCTCACGGAGGTTGAAAATAATCATTACTGGTGAAATAACAAGGTTTCTAGTGACTCTTTTTCAAAGAACTTGCATGGAAGGTATCTCGGGTAGAAGACTATCAGGTCACCAGTCCTGTTTCCTGCTGTGTGGCACAGCTGACCACCTACCTGTAGTCAAGAGAGTGGGCTGGGAGCCGGGTTCCACCCCTGAGTCAGTACACAGAGTTTGGCAAGTGAAAACGCTCAATTTCAGGTGTGGACAGAGAAAATAAAAACAATTTTAAGGGATTACCTCATGTAACAGAAATAAGCCATACACAAATGTTCCTGATGCTTGCTTGTAAAGATTATCAATCTTGGGAGTTTCATTTGCTCTTTTGATGATGCTGTTTGGGACCACGATCGATTGGAAAGGATTGGCTTCGTACACAGATGAGGTTTTGTTTATCTCGAGGATTCCTTTGCATTCATAGTAATCTAATATGGTAATGATATTCTCTTTTGTGAATTTCTCTTTCAGGTTGCTGTTTAAAACCTTCACATGGAAAAACTGACTGGGAGTGGCCACTGTAGCGTGAAACATTCCGCTTCTCCCCTCTTCTGCGGACTTGTATTCAAATGGCTCCGTTGCTTTCAGTACCAGGACAGTCAGGGGGCCCTGCTGAAAGACACGTCCTCTAGGAGCAGCTTGATGTTGGCCCTTCACCATCTGGTTGTGTGTTGGACAGAAACAGGGAAACAGACTTACAAGTCTGGACAGGGAACACCAGCCAGGTCATTTTCTCATGCATGAAACCTCGATTATAACACCGGGACCACAACGACCCTCACAGATGTTTGGAGCTAGAGCGAGGCTAGAAAGGAATTGCGTAACAGAAAGGAAAAGCTAACGAACCGGTAGCTTATCTAGCAAAAGTATAAGGTAGCAGACAGTGGCCTAGGAGTCCAAACACCCTCACTTCAACAGAAGCGTCTTTCTGAATTAAAGCCAGATCCTCCCAAGAGCGGCACAGAACTGTGGATGACCAGAGCGTTGCCCTCAAGTACCAAAGGAACAGATTCAGATATTTCATTCAAATATATCCTCCACCCATTTAGTCTTAAACGACTGAAGAAAGTAAAAAGTGTGAACAAACAACGCCGAGAGCGCTGCAGGTGGGGACCAGCGCCCACACGAGCCACAAAGATTCAGGGTTCTCGGTGTATCTGGGGCCATGGTGAGGGTCCAGCTCATGTCATCTCTGCACAAGAAACAGTGCTGTTAGTGGCTCCAAATTCCCTATTCTCCTTGGCTCCGCAGAGGATATGTGCCCGGAACCATGTAGCCACAACGTTTCTCCAACAGAAAAAGGGAGGACAGGTGTGTTCACCTCTAATCCCCTCTCTCACCTTGGCCTGGGCTGTGTGAGCAGCGGCCGAATCCTGTCAGGAAAGGGAAGCCACCCCCTCTGCGCAGGAAGTGTGGCGGGCGGGGATGGGTGTTGGGGTCCCAGGACATGGAGGGGCATGGAGCCAAGCCATTCACGCCCCCAGACCAGAGGTACTTAAGACGGGTCTGGCCTGGGGTAGTCCACACGGCGATCACCATCCTACTTTATGTGGCTGTGGCTTCTCCTCATGGGACCAATTTACCCGTAACAAGGGAAGCCCCTTTGCCCCGGGGAGCTGGGACGCCTGCGACGGACAGCAGGGCCGGTCACCGGGCGCGACGAAACCTGGCAAAGGGTGAACGGGCAGCGGTACCTCGGGGAAGGCGGAAACGGACGGCGCCGACGACGAGGTCTGCGGCGGCGGAAGAAAGCCGAGCGCTGCGGCCGTGCTGGCTCCCGAATGGCAGGCCGGCAGAGTCTGCGGCTGGAACCCCTTGTTCTTTTTTGCCGCAGCCGTCCCTTTGGCGACAGGTTTTCTTTTCTGAAAGTAGTTTAACGTTCCTGTTAGCGGTTTTCAGCACCAAGAGAAGCACCACACAGTTTCATTACTTGGCTGCAGGTTCCTCCTACAGGGAATGTGGCGTCCTGGGAAACTCCAGGGTGACCCCGGCTGTCACCTAGAGGCGGGCAGTGGGTGAGAGGGGGCAGGGCCGACAGCCCACGGGGGGAGATGTTCACGGACGCGGACAGCCCCCTGCTGGAGCCGCCCCTGCGTTGGGACGGGAAGAGCTCCAGCCTCCTGAAAATCGGGGTGCGCCAGGGTGCGCGAGTCGCGTTGCCGGCCTGGCTGCGAACTCGTCTGTATAGAGGAGGCGATGTCAGCGTGTTTAGGTCACGGAAACGTTTTCCACGTTTTTGCCTGGCACGAAGCAGATGGCCCGAATGCCTGCATTTGGCAAATCTGCACTGATAGAATACCGATAAAGCAGCAAGTGCCTGGCAGAGCTCCTTCCTAGGGCCCCCGCAAGCCTCCTGTCCCTCCCCAGGCTCACCTGAGACGCAGTGGTCCCCTCCGCCCTCTCGCACAGCTGAGCGCTACTTGCGGTGGTGGCAAATGCCGTGGGACCCACCCTTGCCTGTTGCGGCTTTTTCTTTGGAGTTTCTTCTGTTGTCTTCATTTTCTTTGCAACTGATACAAAAACAAGGAGGACACAATGAAACCCGAGCTGAAGCCTCGTCAAAGCTAAGTCCTCTCAGCTCCCGCCGTGGACCCAGGTACACGCGAGTCTGCCCGTCCTGCCTGGGCCAGCCTGGCCCGAGGGCACCCACGGCCCCTCCACAGGCTGGGAGACTGCGCCCTGCTCCTCCGTGGTTTCCAAACTCTCTCTCCCGGCAGTGAGCACCTCCTCCCCGTCGTCTGGATTCCCATGTGCTGCCATCCCATCCTTTCCCACGCCTGTTCTCCCATCATTTCCTTAAAAAAAAAAAAAAAAAAATCCAAGGTTTCCATGATACTGACTGCGTGGTCAAGTTCTTCAAAAGATCTATTAAAATAACAGAAACCAATGAAAGGAAATAAGATACAGATCGGTGAGGTGACAAAATGGCGACATCGGCCTTTGGATTTTTTTAAATTTTGTTTCAACACGGTGATTTCACCAGGGGCAAGTCGTCCGCCTCTCTGAGAGGTAGGTTTTATGTTAAGCACGCTGTACCTTTGTTACCAGAAGGCAGATGATCATGTGGCAAATAGTGTTACAATAGGCACATTCATTGGTTAAACGTAATTATTTTAAAATAAGTGATTATTTTGTGATTTTCTAACATTTCCAAAGCACTGGAAGCCTCAGGGTTTCATGGGCTCCCTCTATCTTTCATTCTCTGTCCTCAGCCTAACACAACCTCCAGCGTAGATCAATCAATCAGTCCCCTTCCCAGGAAAGGGAACGCCCACGGCTGTCAGCTTGTTGGCCCCTGCATCCTGCATGGTCACCGCTGCCGAGTCATGCACTGGCAAAGGGGTATGCCACCCTCACCAAGTGCTCGTCTACTCAATTTGGGGAGGGGGGGTCAGGGTGGAGCAGTCAGGTGTGGGATCTTCCTTATTACCTTTCATCTTCTCATTTCTAAGTTGCTTAACAATGTCCTTAAGTGGTGGCATGTCCTTGAATAGGTCTATTAGCTTGTCCACACAGGCAGCCCCTGGGAATTTCTTTTCCATCAGGTCAGCAATCTTGACCTTGTTATATTCTTCTTGCATGTTTGAAGTCAGTCCCAAATCATGGGCCAGTAGGGACTTAACTATGCTAAACTGGTAGTCGTTGATGAGCTCCAGTCCTTTCAGCAGAATAATTCTCTTGTACTCACTCCCCATCTCTGCAGGTGTGGCTGAGCCTGCAAGAGAAAAATACCATACGGTGTTATACCTTTCTCCAGAAGATTTAAAAGTCTGGCTGTGTCTATGTGAGTGAGTGTCAAGGTGTCATCCTTGAGTGTGTGTGACGAAGAGGGACTTAATTTCCAGGTGTGTCACTGTGGGTTGAGAACTGCTGTATTCGGGACTTCTAAGAAATTCTTTCCTTTTAACAATGATAGTTGAGTTGGGTTGGGGGTGGGTGTGGTGGCAGGAGGTCGGGAAAGAGGCCTTGCTGTTGCCCCGTGTGGAGTGTGGGCTGTAGGGGGTCAGAGTCCCCGCTCGCTCGCTCCCTCCTCCCACCCCGTGTTGGGGCTGAGGTCTCTCCCGGGATGTCCGCCTGCTGGCTCCGGACTCTGTCACCTCTCACTCCCTGGGACTGTCCTCCCACCGTCCCCCTCCCCCGCTGGGTACCAGCCCAGCACGCCCGACCCTTCCCTAGTCAGCCCTTCTCATGTCCTCTCTCCCTGGGGCTCGGGCCATGTTCTCTGTGTCCTCTGTGCCCTGGTCTACCTGCTCTCTCGTGCAGAACTGTAGCCCTGATGGGCCAGAATTACTTAAGAGTTGCTTGAATTTCCTCCTCCCGGCTAATTTCTCTACTCAGTTATCTCTCCATAAGCCATACTTCTAGCCGTCTCAAAATCCTTCAGTAGTTCCCTGTTTTCCTTAGGAAGTACTCCTGGATATTTAGCCCGGCGTGGAGGCCTTGAATAATGTCTCTTCCTGACTTCTCCCCTTGTCCATGTTTCATATTTAGGTCCCAGAAATATGCATTGCATCGTGCTATGTCAGGCTCTCTGTATGGAATGTACTTCCTCCCCCCCCTTTTTTTTGAACGGTAAATCTAGAGAATACATGGTCTTCATGAAACTAGTATAATGTAACTTCAAATTCTGCCAAATTATGTACATGTGCAGACGTGTTCAGCCCAAATCCAATCATATTCTTATGTTGGATATTTTTACATAGTGTCCTAAACTCTGAATCTAATTCAGCTTGTGAAAATCAGTATTTGTGGAAAATGTCACTTTTGTCATTTTTTTCCCTCTCATATCTTCCCCCAACACATGACTCAGTAAGCAGAAGACGATTGTTAATAGCTTAGACTATGGAGTTCAGAAGACTTAACTCCTAGAATATAATCATGTGACCACATACTTCAACAGATACAACTCGAATGTAAGTGAGTGATTTGTAAGATGAGATTGAAAGCTGTCCCGCAAGAAGACAAAATGGATTCAGAAATAGAAGACAGAAAATGCATGTGAGACCTCTCAGGCCACAGGTCAAAGTGTCCACACCCACATGCTGTTTGTTGTTAAAAGAACAAAATATAAAATGAAAAGGAGAAAATATTGAAAGAAATAATGAGATACACTTCTTGGAATTAAAATAACACGAACATTCTCAGAGGGATTGGCCAGTAGAGTGCCAAACAGGAGAGCAAAGGAAAAACCCACATCAGGGCATAATGTAGAGGAACTGAAGAATATCCAAAACAGCAAGAAAAATTTGACTTCCAGAGAAAAAGAGTAGATCACTTACAAAGTTTCAAAATCAGATTTTCAACAGCAAAACTGGCATGGAGTACCTTCGTATAGTATTTCACCCAAATTCCATATCTGCACTATTGAAATCTCCCCAAATTGTGAAAACAAAAGTTATGTGGGTGTGTGTGATTGCACATGTACGTGTGTGTATCAATTTGATGACAGATTTTGTTAGAAAAATATCTGATGTGAGATCTCAGGAGCCTGTGTAGAATTTTTTTTTTTTTTTTTTAATTCCACCTTAATGCAAGTTCTCCCATGTCTTGCTGATGTGGTTTTGATGGGTCTCGGAGCCAACGTCCAAGAAAGAATTCTTGAGACATCTTTGGTGCAAAAAGGTGGTTTTATTAAAGCACAGGGACAGGACCCGTGGGCAGAAAGAGCTGCTGCCCTGGGGTTGTGAGAGGTGACCCATTATATACTTTGGGGCTGTGGGAAATAAAGATAAGGGAAGTTCAAGGGAAGTTCGAAAAGGACTTTCATATGCTAAAGAAGACGCACAGGATACTGGAGGCCTATCTACTGTTAAACTAAGGTTGTTTTTCCCTCTAGCAAAGCAATACCTATGCTCTCTGCCTGCCTCAAGTATCTGTCAATGGGCTGCAAGTTATAAGCACATTTAATTGTATCTACATTTCCTTTTGCCTTTGTTTCCCACAACATTGCTACACAACCACGAGTGCCTGTAAGCTGAGTGAGGACTCAGATCTTTCTCGATCATCTATATGACACACAAGATGTGGTGTGTGCATTAGACAGCCTTTCCTGAGTCCCTCAAATTCTGAATTTCAAAACTTATGTGAACCCAAATGTTTCAGAGAGGCGTTGGCCAATATAAATTGAAGAAAAAATAATTTTGGAAACCAGAATTTTGTATCTAGCTCAAATGGCTTTGAAATGCAATGTACTACAGATGAATCTCTGATACTGACCAACACGGTAAACAGATTTGCAACACAAAGACACCAAGGAAGCAGTGTTTTGGAAACAGTATTCCCCTGGAAAATAAAAGAGGTCAGGAAAAAAAAGAAAGAAAAAAAAAAAGCCGCTGACAAAAAAGAAAGAGAGAACAAGACCCTGATTGACTCTTTCAATATTTTAAAAATAAATAAGGCCCCAACTGAAGAGAAACAAAACAGGAAGTAGATCAACATGGTGGGGTGGACAGGGAAGAAAGGATTTGTGCTTACTGAGCTACTTGCCTGTTAGGAGGGGTTGGAGATAGAAATTTAAAATTATTGGCGAAGAAAAAGAAAGCGCAGAATAAACACTATAGGTAAATGTTTTAAGTTAGTAAAAACACAGCACTTCACTTAATGTACATAAAGGGATAAACCACTAAAAGGCAACATTTCTAAAATGGATTAAAAAAAAATCTACATATGTATCATTGACAAAAAGTAATTCAAAGTTTTAAAAAAAATTGTTGCAGAGGTTCTACATGGAAACATTAGAGAGCAGACAGAGTACCTGTGTCAGTGTAGAGTTAAACAGACCTTAAGACAAAGACTTTAATCAGAACTAGAGTTTCACTGCACAATGGTTGAAGGTTTACCTTCCAGAAAGATGCAACAGTTTTAATTATGTATTTGCCTAAGAGTAATAAATATATATTATTTATTATGAGCTTTTGTTATTCATATTATTATGAAGTTATGTAGCATATTTCTCACTATAGATTCATACATATATGTTAACAATTGAGAGAACTACAAGGAAAAATGGCCAAAATCATGATTATAGTTTGCTTCTAGCATATGTTAGTTACTGAACAAAGCAAGAAAAAAAGCAGGAGATACTTAGAAAAGCTGACTAACACTGCTCGGCTTAAATAAAAAGCTTGATCTAACACTTGGGAAATTCCGAAACTAATATTTAAAATGTTACATTTCTCTCAAATGCACATGAAATGTTTGTGTACCAAGCTCTGCAGAAAGACTAAAGCATTTTCCAAACTGGGGCTACAGATTTGTCTCCAACCACCTCTTTTCTACAAACTCCACCACCGTTTGCCTCACCCTTTGAGGAACCCGGGGAGTGTGTCTGCCACGACCTGAAATGCTGGCCCGCCATTTGAGGCAGAGCGAACCCACAGGAAAACGCTAGGGCACCATGTGTTTGAGTGAGTGTGCCCACGAACCTGAGAAACGCTCTCCTGTGTGTGTATGTTCTCATGTTTTGTGAAATCGGGATAATACCATAGAATATAGTTTTATGTCCGGATGTGTTTTCTTACTTAAAAGCATTGCATAATACTTTTACAACCCCTCATCCCGTCCCCTACCCAGTTCCCACCACAGCCGCCAAGTTCCCTGGGCCCCCTCCAGGCTAGAAAGCCAAGGCCCGCTTCTAAATATCAACTCGTGCTATAAACACCCACAGAATGAATTTTAAAGCGGCAGTAGTCAAAGATACCTATTGTCGTCCCATGTAGTGGAAGGATTAGGATGAATGCCCTGAGATTTTCACTTTTCAGAATACAGTTGATACCGGCCTCACTCCCCATTCCTACCCCCTCCCCGAACGACTCAAAAACTCACTGGCCTCCTGTGATTCTGTGATATCAAGGAAGTACCCGCATCTCCTCTACAAAAGTCCTGACCGGACTCACCTCACTGAAGATTCTCCCCAGTAGTCCTGATCTCGAGATCTTCTTCAGAAATGTAGCAATCAGTATTTGCTTGACTTGAGTAAGAAGATAAACCAGTAAAGCTCTCAGAAACTGAACTGCAGGATACTGCAATCTCCTGAAATGCTAAGAAAATAATTTCTGAGATAAGAAAATGGCCGTGGTGAGCATCACAGAGTAGCCACCCCCGGCTGCCTCGCCTCGAGTTCAACCCCGAGAGGCAGAGATTACGAAACTTATTCTGAGACTCCTCCCATCCGGGGCTTTAGCTCTGTGTTTCCTTAGAGGAGCTGAACAGCTTTCTCCTACACATCTTAGACACAATGAAAAAATCAGAGCTAAATTATCACTTATTTTATTTTATTTTTACAAATGTCTGAAAGGAGTTACAACATTAGAACTTTCTGAACCAGCAGACTTCAGTGTGGGTCAGTAGATGACAGAGCCCCTTAAGTGAGGCTCGGAGACCATGAAGGAAGAGTGAGTCACCAACCCCAACTTCCTCCCTTTCTGTTCACATAGCAACCAAGGCAGGAGGAGATCTTGGGGGATTGTTCATGGGTAAACACAAGTGACTAATAGGCTCATATCATTACAGCAATAACTCCTTCAAATTCTGGCAGAGCAGGAAGCTTCTAGAAGAGTTGAGGGCCCAATGAATACTTTGTCTACAATGTTTTTTCTCTATCTTACAACAGATACCATTTGGAGAATTGTAACCCTGAGACATCAAATAAATGGAGCCAATCAGCAGCTCGTATGGTGGTAACCCACTGTCTGAC